CTAAATCAAGCGCGCTCGATACATAGGCGCACGCGTCTCGGGCGGCAGCGCGCTCTCGCCGATCGGCGCGATAGATACACGCGGAAAAGCCGATCGATCGCCGCCGCCGATAAGCGCATAATGCACGTAGCGCGTGGGCGTCCTTCGCGAGAAAAGTGCACGTGGGCAGAGCTCGAAACGAGATTGGCCGGCATAATAAATACCCGCGAGCCGAGCGGCCCCGGACGCTTATCATTATTGCGCTCGAGATGCCGGCCGCGAGCTAGCCGGCGATCGCCAGAAGCCGACGGGAAAAAAATCATAACGACGCTCGCCGTTCAGCGATGCGCGGCCGTTACCGCTCGGCCGCTGGACTCGCTCTTTTTCTCGGCCACCGGCGGACGTCGTGGCTTCTATCGCGTCACGCTGTGTCGACCAAGTGGCGTCCGTCCGCGACTTTCGGACTCGACGCGGCGTGCTCGACAAGTCAATAAACTCGCGCGCCCCCATTCTTCCTTTTGGCGAATGCCGTTTCTCACTCTCGCGGCAAATCGCACGTTTTGCACTTGGCGCAGTGGGGTGCGAACTCGAGTGCGGCGCAAGGTGCGCTTGTTGAACAAGCCGATCGAACCTGTTTCCCACTGTTTTATAGATCGTAACCGATGCCGAGAATTTATCGTATTGACGCTGGTTTTTTCAAGTAACGATCGGCAATAGCCTCGCTCGCTCCGCGTTAATATCGCCTCCCGGTTATTTATAGGCTGAGTCGCCTGCCTAATGATTTACTCGAATAACATAAATACCTATCATGTTATGTAAGTGCAAATTTTGTACTATCAATCATCAATTGCTTCATCTTCGACGCCTCTGGCACCGGCTCGTTCATTATTTCTGGAAGCGATTAAGCTATGCGCGATCAAAATTTTGGACGTCCACCGCCGCCGCATCCACCTTATTCGTCATCGTTGCATTGAATGGGCTCTTACCCAACGATCATTAGCACTACAATGAAGCTGGGAAAATTTATCATTACCTTAATTGCGACACCGAGTAACACCCATTCGCTTTATTTATTACTAATTGAAATCGAAATCCTATTGAAAAATCGACGGGCATACGATGACGTATATACGGGCCATTATGTTTCGTCGAATCGTTTTCCATTGCGAAAACCCGGCGGCGTCTCGCCGAGGCGTGTTCGCAGATGACGTGCGCCTTGGTGAAAAATCCTTGCACGTACAACGGCTACGTAACATATAAATTCTGATTGATCACGATTGAGGCACTTGGTTGAATGGAATTATTTCGAAGGGTTGTAAAATCCACACTTATTTACAATGCTCTTCGAGAAATTCGATTATATAATTATTTTTCCTCTCGGCGAGAAAGAGGTTACCGAGGAAGTTGTACACTTTTCACGTCGATACATCAGGAGGTATTAATGGTATGCGCCTTGAAAATGTGATTGCCCGCGTGGAACGAATACATCGATACAATGCTACGTATAAGCTTAGGGCTATGGTATATCGAGCCGTGAATAGAAGATTAATGACGAGACAAATTTTTAGCGCGACGCCGGCAAGAACGCCAGATACGCGTGCACGTAATTATCATTGAAAGCGAAAAAAAAGGACACACAAAAGCGCGCGATCGTCCAGAGTTTATCAAGCGCGACCGACGGATAAGTCGTGTCATCATCGCTTCCTCCCGTCCATCATCGCGCGCGAGCTCGCGTAGTCTCCGTCGTCGTCTCTTCTCAGTCTTCGCATCGACGAGGATCATTTATTATGCGAGCCAGTTCAATATGATTTCCTTATTAAGGCGATTGTCTCGCGGGGCCTCGGCTTTAATGAAACTTAATTTGTCCGCGCTCGTCTTGATTCGATGCGCCTGAGAACCGCCTGCGCCCGTCGAGGACGCGACCAGCCATAGACGCAGCCAGCTGTTTCGGCAGAGCGCAGTTCGACAGCAGGCAATTCCACGAGCGGACCCGGAAACGCGACCGACAGCAGCCGCAGTGGCTTGGCGCGCGAATCCAGGCGGGCGAAGGCGCGACGTCCGCTCCGCGAGGCTGGGTCCGACCGCGCGTTCGGCGGAGGACGCGGGACTCAAATAGTCGGCGAGCCTCGCAGCGGGTTGGGCTGGAAAAGAAAATCCGCCGGTAACAATTGGAACGCCCATCGTTCACAGTTGCGGCGAGTCATCGCTCCAGCGCGGAGAGTCAGAGCGAGCTCCATTGTCGAGGCGCGCAGGCGTACGCGGAAAACTAATGTGACGGGACTCTCGCTCGCGACAAGCGGATTCAAAAATAGGAGTCGACGTGCGCCTCGCATTGTGCCGAGAGCGCGCGGCCCGTGATCCCGCGGACCTCCGCGCTCGAAACGAGCCTGCGTCGAGGACACGGACAGGCCCGCCCTGTACGCGTCGCCGTGAAGCCGCGATCTCTCCGGCTGTTTGCTCATTGAAATCGCTATTCGGCTTCGGCGTTCTGCGAGCCCCACGGATTTCCCCGGCTGTCAAGGAGACTACTCCTTAATTATTCCAGGTGAAAGTTGCGTCCGCGAATGTCCCAGCGACGTGCCGTATTATCGTAGAGCTATTATTAGTAATGTGGCAGCTACATATAATCGAGCTGGATTATACGCATTATTGAGAGTCCAGTCAGCGATCGGGGGCTTCAACAAACGAATAGCTGATGCGCGCGGTCAGACTAGGTGCGTCTTGCGTGCCGTTCATTACTAATCGCTGGCCTCGATATTAGCGCGCTTCTGTGCTCTCGGCTGCGCAGAGGAGAAGGAAAGCGGCGGCAGGAGTCGCGCTCGGCAGATACGCCATACACGAGTGACATAAGCAAGGTCTCCGGCTAATTCTCGCGGCGAGCGTTCCGATGCATTACAAGTGCAGCCAGCGCGCTCCAGCTGGCCCCGCGAACGCACATTTTCAGCCGCAATATCCGGACGTCAAGGTCTCATTGCTCCTTTTATCTCACACGCCTGCGCAACACCATTATCTTTATCGGAACGCGACGCACGCGGAGTTACCTTTTCCTCTCGCGTCTACGTGAACGCGGAGAAAAACAAGCAGCCATCTCGCGAGCTTGCGCGCATAAAACGACAGGACTTGACCAACTGACGTCCTGCTCCGATCTGAAAACGGTTGGTATCTGCAGGCGCCTGCGGCAATAACGGCGACAAGTAGATCAAACCGAACGTCTGACCCCGTTACACCGTGACTCGCGACGCTCGTGCGCGCGGGAAAAACAAACGTCGAGTCCCCATCGAGCCTGCACTTTGCATTCCGGTCCGCGCGTCTAACAGGGCTTGGTGGCTAAAACGCCGATAAGCTCGGTAGAATTACGAAAAATGAAAAATGCCATACTCGCATTCCGCGAGCGTTTATTTAGTAATCGTATACCTGATTAGCGTAATTAAGCCGAGTTACGTAGTTTTATCGTGGCGCAGCGGCGGGATTATCTGTGAGGCCGGAATGAGTTTCTTTTGCAAGCCAGCAAAGCGCACTCAAGTTCATTAGAATACTTGAAATGGAATAAAATTAAGCATTGCAGTCTGCTAATAGCCGGTTATACCTTCTTATTAATGAACCACTGGGATGTTGCAGTTTGTAGTTGCGAGTAAATACTCCGCGTGGCCGTGTCGAGTGTGTTCCCGTGTCAAATGTGCATTGCCGCGCGCGACCAAGTTTACGCCTGCTGCTGGCTCAAAGTCAAATAGGCGCCCCACTCTCTCCCCCGGGGAACCGCGATGTCAAGCTCGCAGATTGCGGCCTGTTTCTGCGCTTCCAATTAACGCCCGCGAGTCAGGCAAAGACCTTATCCTCCAGCTCGACTGCGATTCCTTTGCCTCGGATATTCGTTCGAGACGTCTTTGACGCCTTTCAGCCTCGCCTTGCTCGATAACAACTGAATAGTGTCGTCGCCCGCGTTACGTGTCGCTTTCCGCCGTCGCAATGCCGCCGTTCTGGCCGACGAGAGACATTAATTGAGCGAGCGAATAAAAACCAAATGAGAATGGTGAGAAATGCCGTTTTTCTCACTCGTTGTAGCGATTCCTTCATTGGAAAATAATAATATCGGCCTTTTCATCTTAAAACTCATCCTCCGGCTTACAACTTTATCGAGTACGCGAGGAAAAAAAAATCAAAGGGAAGCTCCTCAGGTGTGTTCCTCTTATAAAGCTTGTAATAGTAGCGCTAATAATAACGCTCGATGACTGAGCTGATTTCGTGAGAAAGAAAAAGTTGATGATTAAAAAGAAGAACATAGAGGGAAACAGTAGAGTATACGCTGACTCAGAACTATCCCTAATCGGCAATGAGGATCAGTCATTTTCGTTTTTCTTCATAACAGAGGCTCATCAAATCCGTAAATTGAGAAATATTACAGGTGGATTTTGAGGAAGCGTGCGAGGGTCAGTGATTACGACTTCAGCAGCCAGTTAATAGTAGGCCAACTCTGATACGTTATCCTGCGCATGCAGCGGCTAACGACTTAATGACGGGAATTCGCCACTTTGCGACTGCCTCTTCCCGCCCGTGCCTCAAAAAACCGAGCGCAGGACCGTACTTTTGACGAGGCAGTCGCCATCGAAAACCGATTATTGCTCGGTTTCTTTCTTTTTGCCAGAGTCATGCTCATCGGCCCAAAGCAATCGCTAGTCGGGCATCGGTCTGTCCGACAATGGCATAGCGGTGTCGCGTATTACCGCGACACCACTACCACTCGCACGAGAGCACGACCCGCCTACGCACACACAATTGTAAAGCCACTTCCTGCTCGCTCGAGTGCGCGACATGTAAGAATACCAATGCGTGTAACGGCGACCACCTCGCATTTTTTTATGCCCTTCTCCGACGACTTTTCGCGAGAAGCTCGACTTGGTACCAATTTGATTTTAAGCACGTGCATTGCTGTCGATGATGAGCAGTGCGACCAGGATTTGCGTGTTTACGCTACTGGAAATGCTGAGCCATCCTTTACGTAACGTACCGCCGTAAGCTCGAATTATCGTGTCGCGGCCGAAAGTCAGTAGACATTGTGACGCGCACTTTGGTGGCTCGGTAGATTTTTTACTGACCCTCGCGCCATGAAAAGTCACTCCAACATTTTTGCACTCGCGTTCGTCACGCTCGTTTTGAGACCTCGCGCGATCTCTCGTATGTGTTGAAAGCCGCCGGAGACATCAAGAGCAAACGAGAAAAATGGAGGTCGGTATATTGTTTTCTCTTTTTTGGCGATAAAATTAAGCGCACGGCCAGTGTGGTGGCAAGCGACTACGAGCATTTGCGAATAATACGCGTGGAAGGTCACGTGGAGAGTTACGCAAACGTTGGCTGGATAAGTAGTTGGATTTAACACGAAATGCGAATTCAGAGAGTGGCGCTGGGTTCCCACGTGAATTTACATTCATTAATGCGTCAAACACAGCAGTACGTTTAGTAGCAAATCCAATACTTTATGGCAATTCACTCGGTTATTCCGACTGTACGTCAACCGATTCAAGCGTGATTTAAGTTTCGGCCATTTCTCTATCGAGCAGGTATCGATCGCGGAGAGAAAAGCGACCAAACTAACGGGAGGAAAATTTTCAGGGCAGGAAAAAGTCGATGCTGCAAGCCGCCGATTACGTTGTCCTCGGCGTGGTGATGCTCGTGTCTGCTGGCATTGGCGTTTATTACCGATTCACCGGGGGCAAACAGAAAACCATCGAGGTAGGATCGTAGAAAACCAATGAAAGTTCATCAAGCGTATCGTCTGAATATACTGTCCATTGGAACGCAGGAGTACTTCTCGGCCAATAGATCGATGAGCGTGTTGCCTCTGAGCATAGCTCTGATGGTATCCTTCGTTTCGGCAATCACGGTCCTCGGCATCAGCGGAGAGATTTACGCCCACGGCACGCTGTTCGCCGTACATTACATTGGCATCGTCGCGGCGACAGTCGTGGTCGGCTACTTTTACCTGCCGGTGTTCTTCGAGCTCGACAGCATGAGCGTCTACGAGGTTAGCAATGCCTGCACGACGTCGCGCTCTCGTTATTAATAGTGCACTATTGGACTGGCGCGCAGTATCTAGAAAGGAGGTTCGGCATAGCTGCACGATTGACCACGAGCATAGCCAACTACATTCAGCTGACCCTGTACACCGGCGTCGTCCTGTACGCGCCGTCTTTGGCGATAGAGGCGACAACGGGACTGTCCAGCAAAACCAGCATAACTCTCATAGCTGTGATCTGCATATTTTACTCGACGGTCGGCGGCATCAAGGCCGTCCTCGTCACCGATATCTTCCAAGGTGTGCTCATGTTCGCCTCGCTCGTCTGCATCCTGGCGGTGGCTTCCAGCGAAATCGACGGTGGCCTCGGCCGCGTCTGGCAAGTCGCCAGCCAGCGCGGCAGACTCGAGTTTTTCGAGTAAGATCGCCCGCTATCGGCATCCGCGGCGGCGCGGCGGTGCAAGCGATGTAACGGCCCGATCCCGATTTCAGCTTTCGACCGGACCCGACGATACGCCACACTTGCTGGAGCCTCATCTGCGGCTGCTTCTGTCTGTTCTGCTCGCTGTACGGCGTCAATCAGGTGGAGGTCCAGCGTCTAAAGACCGTCAAGTGAGGATCCGCGTTCGCTTGCACTCGCACGCGCGGATAAAGTCGTAGCCCGGATTGTCGTTTGCAGAACCCTGAGGGCGGCGCGCCTGGCCTTGTTCATGAACGTGCCGATGCTGGTGTCCTTCGGGCTGATGACCTGCTTCTGCGGCCTGGTCTTGTTCGTCGTCTACAAGGACTGCGATCCGGTGAGGAGCGGCCAAGTCGGCTCGGCCGACCGCCTGATGCCGCATTTCGCGGCCACCAAAATGGCCGTCTACCCGGGACTGGCGGGCCTCTTCATCTCGGGAATCTTCAGCGCCAGTCTCAGCACCATATCCGCCATGCTGAACTCGCTGGCGGCCGTCTTCCTCGAGGACTACCTGAAGCGCCTGTACCGCCGAGCAGGCAGGAGCTTCCCGGCCGAGAAGGAGGCGTACTTTGGCAAAGTTCTGGCCGTGTCCAACGGCCTGATCTGTACGTCCATCGCCTTTCTGGCCGGCAGCCTGGGTAGCCTCATAACGCTCACCGTCTCCATCACGGGCTCGATCGCCGGCCCGGTACTCGGCATCTTCACCCTCGGCATGTTCTTCGAGGGCGCCAACGAGAAGGGGGCCGTAGTCGGCATCGTCACAGCCCTGCTGACCTGCATGTGGGCGAGTTTCGGGCAGCCCCGGCCCAAGGTGCCTCCGCTTCCGGCCTCCACAGATGGCTGCAATTTCACAGTCCTGCCCGCCGGCCTGTCCGTCGCCGAGTGAGTGCTGCCCGAGCTTTTCTTGCGTGGACTCACGCCGCGGCCATAAATCGTCGTCGCTTCCCATGCGCGCGCGCTTTTCTTTTCTGAGGACGGCTTTGTTGTTTACGGGGATGTAACGAGCGCCGCGATCATCGAATGCAAAGTTCCGTAAAATCGAGCGTTTTTCCAGCGGGTTAATGGACGACTTCCGACTCGCGCGAATAATGCTATGAAAAAGAGCGGCGACAAATCCGATGCGCATTGTTGGGCCGCCATTCACGCTAATTCGAATACCTTTAGAGGCGCGTACAATGAAAAAAGGCAGAGAGACAAAAAAAGTCACGCGTGCGCCATCCGGAAATCCGCGAGTCTTTGTGCAACGGGACTGTTGTGAAGATTCGAATAATCGACATGAATTGCGCTTCATTTTCAGACCGCCGCGAGACCCGAGTTCCTACTTCTACCTCTACCGCATATCGTACATGTGGTACAGTCCCATGGGCGCGACCATCACTCTCGTCGTGGGCTACCTCGCGAGTCTGTTGTTCGATAAGTTTTCGCGCGAGAGGCCGATCGAGCCCGATCCAAGCCTCTTCACGCCGATGTTGGCCGAGCGGATACGCAGGAAACGATCGGACGCCGCCAAAACGACGAGCAGCCAAGTGCTCGCGCTCGAGGAGGCGAACGCACGGCGAAACCAATGACTACCAAGGGACGAGGGAGCGCCCGGCGAGATCGAAGTGGGCAGACTTCCTCACGGCAAGGCCCCGGTCGACTTCTGGCAGTCGGATTCCAATTACAACGCTTTTCACGACTTTGGAGCGGACGGCGAATGATTGATTTTGTGCGAATTTACCAGTGTGGCGGCCGCCAAGTATCACTCGTGTACTTGCTCTACATTTTGAACTGCGAAAATCGACAACTCACCTGAGACATAGAGAATGAGATAATTTTATTGATAGTGCTGCACGTCGCAGTGTATGTAAATAACTATTAGATATGTTGACTAGCTTCAATAATATTAATTTCGTTTGATGACGAAATCAATGTAATTTTGCGCGCAGTGGTCTTCGAGCGTAGCTGAAGTTCGTAAAAACGGAGTAGTTCGTAAGTTGAAGATCGTGATCGCTAGAAATGGGAGGGGAGTCGCACAAGCTGCAGTTTCCTCCGAAAGGAACGAATATAAATTCGTGGCCTTGTGAATTTTACGGAGCCGACGCAAAGCTCGTTAAAAAGGAGGAACGAGCGCGAGAGTAGCAGAGAGGGCCGAGGAGCGCTTGGATCTTTCGAGCGCCGTATACGTACGACTAATTCAATTACAGTGACGCAGGCCCGCGCGCGATAGGGTGATTCACGCGCCGCCGGCTCAAGCCGAAATCGAGCCGCTCGGCAAGACGTTTGACGCGTCGTTAGAGCTCGGGTCGCGTCGGAGAACGGGCAAACGGCGAGGCGAGACGAGCGGAGGTTGCGGCCGAGCGCACCTCCTTGTTTGCTTAGAAAGCCTCGACCAATCAATTAGCCGCGCCAGTTGTACATCCCGGAGGGTTGTCTCGCGGGGCATACCGGGGGGTTCTGCCCACAAAAGCCACGAGGAGCGACTGTAGTCGGGCAAGTCGTCGGCAAACAAAGTCACGTGCGTCTCGAATTATCCCCGAGGCATTAGGCACGAGCGTAAACTCGCGCGCGTTCCAAGGCGGCAGCCAGGTAGAAGCGAGCGAGCGACGCGAAAGAGAGCGAGAAAGAGAGCTGTTTATCGAGGCGTGGCCCACCCTCCGCGTGAAACCGGACCCCCGGGAGAACACAGGCCGAGCAGGCGAGCGCGAGTGCGCGCACTTAGAATGATTACATTTTTGCTGGCTGCCTCTAGACGCTTAATTAATTGTGGCGCTCCGGTAAGCAGCCGCGAGAGGCCTGTTATTAGGTGTGCAAGCGCGGGTAAATTGAGCCGCGATCTCTCTTCCGATTCTTATCCGCTTTCCTCGTTACCCGCCAGATTCCGCGATAACGATTTCATGCTGCTTTCGCGTGCCTCATTGGATTGTACAGGGCAATTCCGTGCCCGGTAATGGCCGCGAAAGCGAGAAACCCAGCGCTGGCCATATTGACGATTATGCGCGCTCGCCCTGCGCCGGGGAAAAACGTGCTTCCGGCTAAGGCGGGCGAGCCCGAAAATCGAGGCGCACTCAGGCTGATCGAGAGCAATAGCAATTTCGGCCGGTGCGCGCACAGGGGAGTGATAAACGAGAGTTGGATTTTAGGGGCTGCGTGGCCGCATTGGCCATATGCTCGGCAATAGTTTCGCAAAGTCAGAGAGCCGAGCGATGACCTTGCGCATATGGCCGGCGATAAAGGCACAAGGTGCTTACCTCCGAGAGCGGATAATGTATTATTTTTCGCGCCTCCGGTTCTCCGTTCCGCCTCCGTACCGGCCGTCGCCCGAGCACCGTTGTCGCGTTTAACGAGCCATCGCGCTGAATGATTGCGAGCCCCTGTTTGAAAGAGAAACGAATGGACGCGTACATACAGCCATTGAGTCATCGAACGTAGCGTCGCGTGCCCGAGAACGCGGCCGTGCCTCTGAAATTAAATGTGTAACGAAGACATCATCGCCCGATGACGAATGAACTCGTTAATAAATTAATCTTAGCCAGCTCGTTATCCCAAGTAAACGCGCTCTCACATAGTTGTACGCGCGTGGAAGCGCTGTCGGCGCGCTCTGCGGGCGCTTCGACGAGGCGCATCGATTTGCATTCGCGCACTCGTAAGAATGAAGCCTTGAGCTTATGCATCTTCGTCAAGATGTATAATGCCATTGTCTTGCGCCGCGGCTTGGTCGCATAAGCCGTGGCAATTTTTGCGCACTGGCGCTCTATGAAAATCGATAACATTACGCGGCGGGCACAACGAGGGGATCGGATCGATCCCTCGGAGAGTGAAAAGGCGCGCGGTAGAGGAGGGGCCGAGTGGCTGATGCTCATGAATGGTACATTGACCATGGAAGCGAGATAAGCGGCGGCGCGCGGGGGCCCTTCCGTCTGCACTCCGCGCCCGCCCGCGTTACGCGTCGCATTCCACCGCCGTATGCCCGCCTTCCTCGAGCGCCCGTTCCCGCCGACGAGGGGCATCGCCAGGACGAAACGTAGGCGGCTGCGCAGCGTTCGAAAGCGCCTCGCCGAGCAATTTTTGCGGCAGCGAGCGCCGTCTGAGCCTGGAGAAGGGCAGCGCGCACCGCATCGAGCCGCCGGTAAAGCCGCCGAGGACGCGCACGACGCGGAAGCGGGCAATTCGCCGAACAATAAGACGAGCAAACAAGGAGAAGGAGCATCGAGGCGAGCACGGCGACGGGGGTGCGCGCGCTCGGGCAGATGCAGGCACCGCAGCTGCGCGCCCGACGCGATACACAGAAATACTTTGATGGAACTGTCAGCTGGCGCGTGCCGGCCGCCACGCCGACCACGGGTCAATAGGCCAGGCTCGTCGATAGCCGTGAACGATTCACCGTGAACTTGACCGCGCGTCCTGCTTGGCGAGGCCCTTCGCGCACCTCCGAACGCTGCTCCGACGGTTGGGCAAGCACGCGCGGATTTTGGAACCGCTCCAATTCTACATTTCCTCGAACATAGCTGCTTTGTAGCAGGTGATATCAGGGCTCGTCGGCGTCGTAAAGAAGCCAACGCGTCTGCGCGTGACGCGGGCATTCGATCGAGTGCTATCCGGACGGTACGAGCTGCTTTTGCTCTGGGTCTCGAGGGCCTCTCTAGAGCAGCCGAAGTAAAGCAGAAGCCCGCGGATCGCGGTAGCGCTGATTCACGAAAATACGCCGTGCATCTCGAGCGCCACTCTTTCCTCATAAATACTGCGCCTGCCTGGCACGCATCTCGTTGGAGCCGTCGTTCAAACCACAAACACCGCGTGCCCGTTAGAACGACGCGACGAGCATCGATACGAGCAATGACAAGCGACAGAGAACAAGCGGATTCGAGCTGCGCTGTGGCTAGCCGGAGACACTGCTGGCCGCTGGTTGCCAAAGAGCGAGTGCACGTCCGCGTAACGCGAGATTATTCTCGAAGCAGAGCGCTTGGCTCGATAATTTCGCGCATCTCCGGGGTCTACGTCGAGACGCAAAGGCAGGCCGGCAGCCTCGAAAGTGTCGCGAGCACGACCAAACTGAATCCAGATATACGCGCGCGCGGGGGCTGCGCGTCGAGACTACGGCAAAAACAATTCGCAGATGTGTGCTCCGCCGGAGAGCCGCGGAGCGAGTGTCGCGGGAGCAGCGCACCGCCGCCGAAACAAGAAACGAGCCGGCGACGTCGGCACGGCCGCGCTGTCCTGCGGAAATGCGGCTTGTCGATCGAGAGCCGATAAGGCGTGGGGCGAGGAGGCCTCCGATTTAGCCAGGCGCTGCTCGTGATCGGTCGATCGATCGATCGACCGATCGGCGGCGGCGGCTGGTCGGCCGAGCGCAGCCAGCTGGCACGAGAAAAAGCTGGCTGGTGGTCGGCCTGCAGGATCGCCTCTGCTGATTTATAGGGGCGATTCCGAGGGCCGTCCGCGACGACCCACGTGCAAGCGATAAGATTGCGAGGCTGCGCGCGCGTCGCAAAAAACCACGACGTTCACAGACCGATGCTTCGGCCAGCGCGGCGCTGGGGCGATTAGCGTCACAGCTCCTCCGCAGCGAGACTCACTCGGGGACCTGGAACAATCGACAGCGGTGGTGCGGTCAGGCTGAACGTATGACACGGGTGGTCCAATATGATGGGCGACGCTGAGTAAGCAAAGAAATGCCCATTTGGGAAGACGCTGCCCATCTCGCGTAATTGATAAATTTCAAGAAATCCCATCAATCGTATCCAATTCGACAAATTGAGAGCTTTGTCGGTGCTGCACGAAGAGAGGCTAAAGGCGCATCTATAGAGATTCCAGCGGTGCGTCTCTCAATGAGGCGAGAGAATGTCGGGTTTTCCGGGTGGACGAGGCATCATCGTTACACCCACCGCGCGTGACTCAAAGACGTACACGCCATCCGCGCTCTCGGCGCGGCCCATCACTGCCGTAGCGGCGCCCGATCATTGTCCGCTGCGGTCGGTGCAATATGGTTGCGCCTGCACGTGTCTCCGATGTATACGTACGAGCGGCGCCGGCAATGTGTTTCTCTTGTTGCGCGTGCCTGGCGCGGCTCTCCTATACGAGTTTTGTCGCGCGAGCCCGCCGGCATGCCGCCATTGTGCGCCAGCTACTTTGGCATAATTCGTTCCCGTCTCACCTAACCGTACTCGCGCGCGCGCATACATCTTGAGAGCCAGCTTTAGCCACCGCGATTGTACGTTGCTGAAAAACTCGCTTGCAAATATATATAAGCTGGAAAACAGCCTTGGCCGCGCGTTTTATTTTCCGAACCGGGGGAATATAAATAACGATGCTTTCACGCGCGAGAGCTCGCGAGAAAGGAACCGTAGGTTTGTTTTAATGGCGGAGAGGGTCTTGAGGATGCTCGAGATACGCAGATGTTTGCAACGCGTAAACTCCGCTGCGCGGTCACTCGCACGTGTGACTGCAGTGAAGCGCGCTTTCATAGTTCTTCGAGCGTTCGCCGAAAGCCCCTGGAGCCCACGGCGAACCCGCGCCCTTTTTGCCATCGCCGTTATATAAGCTGCGCGAGTGACAGTTCAGCGCCGAGCGCGCGATTTTTAAAGGAACGCTTCCCAAGTGCCCGCCGCGCGACCGATAGACAACGATTTAATTTCATTCAGCCAGTGGACAGTGCGCTAAATCACGCTTGCGCGCGACCGCGATCGACCGGATAAATGACTTGCAAGCCGATGCGCGCTAAAAACAAGCGCAAACAAGCACGACGAGCTAAGTAAAAAATACAGCTCCATAAAATTCGGATTAGCACGTTTCGATGCAGCACGATTGAAATATCGCGTGCTCCACGGGAATATGACGCCGTGCGTGCAATCCAGCTCGCAGTATACGCGTATATATCTGCGAAAAAGCCCATACCAGCAGCAGCTAAGGTAATCGGATACGA